CCTCCTGGGTTCAAGTGATTCTCCTGCTTCAGCCTCCTGAGTAGCTGGGATTATAGGCACCCGCCACCATGCCGGCCTAATTTTTGTACTTTTAGTAGAGACCAGGTTTCACTATGTTGGCCAGGCTGGTCTTGAACTCCTGACCTCAGGTGATCTGCCCAGCTTCGCCTCCCAAGCATTTTTTTTTAAAAAGTGGGTGAAGTGAGGGTTTTGTTTTTTTTTTTTTCTTTCATACATTTTTCAACTTTGAATAACTCTAGACTAGACAATAAGTTCTAGTATTTTGAACTAACAGTAACTTTTCAGCAAAATCTGGCCTGGCATCTTAAACAATCTAAAATGAACTTGGCAAATATTTAAGTGATTCCCCACCTGCCAGCCACTGCTCTCCAGAAATTAGCAGACTATAAATGGGACTTTTTATTTATTAGAATGCCAAGAAGTTCCAGATGAAAATGAAAATCTGTTTCTAACATACCCATTTAATAGTTAATGACAGTGTTCATTTAACAATATGTAAGAGAAAATTGAAATCACTGAATTGTGTTTAATTGGCTTACATTACTTATAGAGTGATGTAAGCTTTGATACCTTTTTCATTAATCTCTTAGCAAGCACTATTGTGAAATAAATTAAACCTTTTTCAAGGCTGTGAGCTAGATGATTTTCCTATTACTTATTTAGTACCTCAAATTCCTGAGTTCTCTGTTGGTAACAAGAAAGTGATATATTTCCTATTTTTTAAACCATATCTATGTAAAAGAAGCTATGAAACAGGTTTGGACAATAGAGTTTTTCTTACCTACTTTATTGAGATGCAATAAATTGCACATATTAAGGCACACATTTTTTTGATCAATTTTGATTTGAACATACATCTGTGAAACCATCACTAAGATCAACGTAATGAACATCTCTATCACCCCCCCAAAAAATCCTTATGCCTCTTTGTAATCTGTCACTACCTTTCCCCCGATCTGCAGGCAACCACTAACAGATTTCTGCCTCTTGATTAGATTCTATTCCAGAATTTTGTATTAGCGGAATCGTACAATAAGTATCCTTTTTTTGAGGGGGGGACCTGGCTTCTTTCATTCAACATTATGATTTTGAGGTTCATTTGTATTGTGTGTACCAGTAGTATGTAGCTCATTTTCCTTCT